AGTTTATGACTGCTGCAATCCAAGAACACTAGCTCAATACCAGTATTTTGAAAATGCTTAATATTAATTTAATATCTTATAAAAATATCAAAAGTAGTAGAGCACAAAACTCTTACACTGTTGGATGAAAAAGAAGTTTATAATTTGGGCTTTTCCTTATTTATCCTAATTAAATCAAATATATCACAGGGTTCAATATTGGTTTCTTTTTTTTAACTTTTATTGAGTAAATATAAATTTGCAAAGTACAACTTTTGGATTACAGCAGCTTTTTCCCCCCATAACCTCCTTTCCACCCGCAACCTTCACATCTCCTGCTCCCTCTCCCATCCCATTCACATCAAGATTCATTTTCAATTATCTTTATATACAGAAGGTCAATTTAGTATATACTAAGTAAAGATTTCAACAGTTAGCACCCACACAGAAACACAAAGTATAAAGTACTGTTTGAGTACTAGTTATACCATTAATTCACATAGTAGAACACATTAAGGACAGAGATCCTACACGGGGAGTAAGTGCACAGTGACTCCTGTTGTTGATTTAACAATTGATACTCTTATTTATGACATCAGTAATCACCTGAGGCTCTTGTCATGAGCTGCCAAGACTATGGAAGCCTCTTGAGTTTGCCAATTCCGATCTTATTTAGACAAGGTCATAGTCAAAGTGGAAGTTCTCTCCTCCCTTCAGAGAAAAGTACCTTCTTTGATGGCCCGTTCTTTCCGCTGGGATATCACTCAGAGAGATCTTTCATTTAGGTGGGTGTTTGTGGTTTTTTTTTTGCTGTTTTATTTTGTTTTGTTTTGTTTTGTTTTTGCCAGAGTGTCTTGGATTTCCATGCCTAAAATACTCTCATGGGCTTTTTAGCCAGATCTGAATGCCTTAAGGGGTGATTCTGAAGCCACAGTGCTGTTTAGGACATCTGCCATCCTATGAGTCTGCTGTGTATTCCGCTTCCAATGTTGGATCGTTCTCTCCTTTTTAATTCTATCAGTTAGCATTAGCAGACACTTATCTTGTTTATGTGATCCCTTTGACTCTTAATCCTGTCATTATGATCAATTATGAACTGAAACTGATCACTTTGACTAGTGAGATGGCATTGGTACATGCCACCTTGATGGGATTGAATTGGAATCCCCTGGCACATTTCTAACTCTACCGTTTGGGGCAAGTCCGATTGAGCATGTGCCAAACTGTACATCTCCTCCCTCTCTTATTCCCACTTTTCAGTTAAATATAAACACCTAAGACTAATTGTGCGTTAATTAAAGAGTTTACCCAATGGCATTAAGTAGAACAAAAAAAAAATACTACAAGGAATAAAGTATTAAGTTGTTCCTTGACAGTCAGCACAAGGGCTGATCAAGTCACTGTTTCTCATAGTGTCCATTTCACTTCAACAGGTTTCCTTTTAGGTGCTCAGTTAGTTGTCACCAATCAGGGAGAACATATGATATTTGTCCCTTTGGGACTGGCTTATTTCATTCAGCATGATGTTTTCCAGATTCCTCCATTTTGTTGCAAATGACCGGATTTCATTTTTGTTATTGCTGTATAGTATTCTATAGAGTACATATCCCATAATTTCTTTATCCAGTCTTCCTTGATGGGCATTTGGGTTGATTCCAGGTCTTAGCTATTGTGAATTGAGCTGCAATAAACATTAAGGTGCAGACAGCTTTTTTCTTTGCCAGTTTAATTTCCTTTGGGTAAATTCCAAGGAGTGGGATGGCTGGGTTGCATGGTGGGTTATATTCAGGTTTCTGAGGAATCTCCAAACTGACTTCCATAGTGGCTTTACCAGTTTGCATTCCCACCAACAGTGGGTTAGTGTCCCTTTTTCCTCACAACCTCTCCAGCATCTGTTGTTGGTAGATTTCCCTATGTAAGCCATTCTAACCAGGGTGATTGAAACCGCATTATGGTTTTAATTTGCATTTCCCTGATGGCTAGGGACCTGAACATTTTTTCATGTGTCTCTTGGCTATTTGGATTTCCTCTTTTGAAAAATGTCTATTTAGATCCTTGGCCCATCTCTTAAGTGCGTTGTTTGTTTTGTTGTTCTGGAGTTTCTTGATCTCTTTGTAGATTCTGGTTATAAAACCTTTATCTGTGGCATAGTTTGCAAATATTTTTTCCCATTCTGTTGGTTGCCTCTTTACTTTCCTGACTGTTTCTTTTGCAGTACAGAAACTTCTCAATTTGATGTAATCCCAATTGTTAATTTTGGCTTTGACTGCCTATGCCTCTGGAGTATTTTCCAAGAAGTCTTTGCCTGTGCCTATATCTTGTAGGGTTTCTCCAATGTTCTCTAATAATTTGATGGTGTCGGATCATAGATTTAGATCTTTAATCCATGTTGAGTGGATTTTTGTGTAAGGTAGGGGTCTTGCTTCATGCTTCTGCATGTGGAAATCCAGTTTTCCCAGCACCATTTGTTGAATAGACTGTCCTTACTCCAGGAATTGGTTTTAGATCCTTGATCAAATAGAAGTTGGCTGTAGATGTTTGGATTGATTTCTGGTGTTTCTATTCTGTTCCATTGGTCTATCCATCTGTTTCTGTACCAGTATCATGCTGCTTTGATTATAACTGTCCTGTAGTATGTCCTGAAATCTGGTATTGTGATGCCTCCAGCTTTGTTTTTGTTGTACAAGATTACTTTAGCTATTCTAGGTCTCCTGTGTTTCCATATGAATTTCAGCATCATTTTTTCCAGATCTGAGAAGAAGGTCTTCGGTATTTTGATTGGTATCACATTGAATCTATAAATTGCTTTTGGGAGAACGGACATTTTGATGATATTGATTCTTCCAATCCATGAGCATGGAAGATTTTTCCATTTTTTGGTATCCTCTTCTATTTCCTTCTTTAAGATTCTGTAGTTCTCATCGTAGAGATCTTTGACGTCCTTGGTTAAGGTGATTCAAAGGTATTTGATTGTTTTTGTGGCTATGGTGAAGAGGATTGATCTTAGAAGTTCTTTCTCAGCCATGGCATTGTCTGTGTACACAAAGGCTGCTGAGTTTTGTGCATTGATTTTATATCCTGCTACTCTGCCAAACTCTTCTACAAGTTCCAATAGTCTCTTAGTAGAGTTCTTTGGGTCCCCTAAATAAAGAATCATATCATCTGCAAAGAGGGATAGTTTGACTTCTTCCTTCCCAATTTGTATCATTTAATTTCTTTTTCTTGCCTAATGGCTCTGGCTAAAACTTCCAGAACTTTATTGAATAGCAGTAGTGAGAGTAGGCATCCCTGTCTGGTACTAGATCTCAGTGGAAATGCTTACAACTTTTCCACATTCAATAGGATGCTGGCCACGGGTTTTTCATAAATTGCTTTGATTGTATTGAGGAATGTTCCTTCTACACCCAATTTGCTTAGAGTTTTCATCATGAAAGGGTGTTGTATTTTATCAAATGCTTTCTCTGCACCTATTGAGATAATCATATGGTTTTTCTTCTGCAGTCTGTTAATGTGGTGTATCACATTGATTGTTTTGCGAACATTAAACCAAACCTGCATACCAGGGATAAATCCCACTTGGTCTCGGTGGATGATCTTTCTGATGTGTTGTTGCATTCTATCGGCCAGAATTTTATTGAGGATTTTTGCATCTATCTTCATCAGGGAAATTGGTCTGTATTTCTCTTTCTCTGCTGCATCTTTTTCAGGTTTAGTAATTAAGGTGACGCTGGGAGGATTCCCTATTTTTTATTGTTCTGAATAGTTTGAGAAGAATTGGAGTTAGTTCTTATTTAAATGTCTGGTAGAATTCAGCAATGAATCCATCTGGTCCTGGGCTTTTCTTTGTTGGGAGGGCCTTTATTACTGATTCAATTTCAGTCTCAGTTATGGGTCTGTTTAGGTTTTCTATGTCTTCATGGTTCAATTTCGGTATGTTGTATGTGTCCAGGAATCTATCCATTCCTTCCTTCCTTCCTTCCTTCCTTCCTTCCTTCCTTCCTTCCTTTCTTTCTTTTTGACAGGCAGAGTGGACAGTGAGAGAGAGAGAGACAGAGAGAAAGGTCTTCCCTTGCCGTTGGTTCACCCTCCAATGGCCGCTGCGGCCAGCGCGCTGCAGCCGGCGCACCGTGCTGATCCAAAGCCAGGAGCCAGGTGCTTCTGCTGATCTCCCATGGACTTGGGCCATCCTCCACTGCACTCACGGGCCACAGCAGAGAGCTGGCCTGGAAGAGGGGCAACTGGGACAGAATCCAGCGCCCCAACCGGGACTAGAACTTGGTGTACCAGCACCACAGGTGGAGGATTAGCCTATTGAGCCATGGCGTCAGCCAGGAATCTATCCATTTCTGATAGATTTCCCTGTTTGCTGGCATACAACTCTTTGTAGTAATTTCTGATGACTCCTTTTATTTCTGTGGTGTCTGTTGTTACATTCCCTGTTTCATCTCTGATTTTATTGATTTGGGTCTTTTTTTAGTTAGTTGGGCCAGTGAGATGTCAATTTTGTTTATTTTTTCAAAAAACCAGCTCTTCGTTTTGCTGATCTTTTGTAATTTTTTTTCTTTTGATTCAATTCTGTTGGTTTCTTCTCTAATTTTAATTATTTCTCTTCTCCTACTAGTTTTGGGTCTGGTTTGCTGCAGTTTTTCTAGATCCTTGAGATGCATTGATAGCTCATTTATTTGGTGCCTTTCCAATTTCTTGATGTAGGCACCTATTGCTATAAACTTTCCTCATAACACTGCTTTCGCTGTGTTAATGCAGCTTTTGCTGTATCCCATAAGTTTTGAGATGTTGTGTTGTTATCCTCATTTACTTCCAGAAAGTTTTTGATTTCTCTTTTGATTTCTTCTATGACTCAGTGTTCATTCAGGAGCATGTTGTTCAGTCTCCATGTGTTTGCATATGCTCTAGGGATTCCTGAATTGCTAATTACCAACTTCATTCCACTGTGGTCTGAGAAGCTGCATAGTATGATTCCAATTCTTTTGAATTTGCTGAGACTTGCTTTATGGTCTAGTATGTGGTCAACTCTAGAGTAGGTTCCACGTACTGCTGAGAAGAATGTGAATTCTTCAAGTGTAGGATGAAAAGTTCTGTAGATATCTGTTACATCCTTTTGGGCTATAGTGTTAATTAAATCTGCTGTTTCCTTGTTGATTTTCTGTCTGGTTGATCTATCCATTTCCGAAAGTGGAGTATTGAAGTCCCCCAATACTATTGTATTGGAGTCTAAGTCTCCCTTTACGTTCCTTAACATATCATTTAAATAAACTGATGCCCAGTAATTAGGTGCATATACATTTATAATAGTTATAACATTTATAATAGTTATATTTAACATTTATAATAGTTACATCTTTCTGTTGAATTGATCCCTTAATCATTATATAGTGCCCCTCTTTGTCCTTTTAACAGTTTTTGTGTTAAAGTCTATTTTGTCTGATATTAAGATGGCTACGCCAGCTCTTTTTTTGGTTTCTGTTGGCATGGAATATCTTTTTCCAACCTTTCACTTTCAATCTGCATGCATCAATGTTGGAAAGATGTGCTTCTTGTAAGCAGCAAATAGATGGGTTTGTTCCTTAATCCATTCAGCCAGTCTGTGCCTTTTAACTGGAGAATTGAGGCCATTTACATTCAATGTGACTATTGATAAGTAGTGACTTTGCGTGCCATTTTTCCAAAGATATTTCTAATATATGCTTTGAACTTCCTGTGATCTTTTACTGGGAAATTTTCTTCCTTTACCTTCTTTCGTATTGATGGCCGTGTTTCTGTTTCTGTGTGTAACACATCTTTAAGCACCTTTTGCAGGGCTGGACCAGTGGTGACAAATTCTTTCAATTTCTGTTTGCTATCAAAGGTCTTTATTTCACCTTCATTCACAAATGAGAGCTTTGTAAGATATAATATTCTGGGATAGCAGTTTTTTTTTTCTCTTAGTACCTGGGCTATATCTTGCCATTCCCTCCTTTTTTTTTTTTTTTTTTTTACAGGCAGAGTGGACAGTGAGAGAGAGACAGAGAGAAAGGTCTTCCTTTGCCATTGGTTCACCCTCCAATGGCCGCTGCAGCCCGTGCGCTGCAGCTGGCGCACTGCGCTGATCCGATGGCAGGAGCAAGGTACTTATCCTGGTCTCCCATGGGGTGCAGGACCCAAGTACTTGGGCCATCCTCCACTGCACTCCCTGGCCACAGCAGAGAGCTGGCCTGGAAGAGGGGCAACCAGGACAGAATCCGGCGCCCCGACCGGGACTAGAACCCGGTATGCCGGCACCGAAAGGCGGAGGATTAGCCTAGTGAGCCGCAGCGCCAGCCGCCATTCCCTCCTAGCCTGTAGGGTATCTGATGAGAAGTCTGCTGTGAGTCTAATTGGAGATCCTCTGAGAGTAACCTGACATTTCTCTCTTGCACATTTTAGAATCTTTTCTTTATGTTTCACTGTGGTGAATATTGGTTTCCACTTTTACTTTTAAGAATAGAACTCTTTCTGGAGCAAGCATCGTGGTGCAGCAGCAGTCTAAGTTACTGTCTACAATGCCAGTATGCAATATGGGTGCTGGTTTGAGACCTGGCTGCCCCACTTCTGATCCACTCCCTGCTAATGAGCCTGTTAAAGCAGTGGAAGATAGCCCATGTGCCTGGGCCCCTGCTACCCACGTAAGAGACCAACTGGAATTGGGAGAGTTGGGACTCAAACCTAGAAACACCAATGAAGGATGCAGGATTCTAAATGATTTTTTTAGATTTATTTTATATATTTGAAAGATGGAGTTACAGAAAGAGGTAGAGACAGAGAGAGAGGTCTTACATCTGCTGATTCATTCCCCAGATGGCTGCAACAGCCGGAGCTGCTGTGATCCAAAGCCAGGAGCCAGGAGCTTCTCCCACATGGGTACAGGGGCCCAAGGACTTGGGCCATCTTTTACTGCTACCCCAGGCCATAGCAGAGAGCTGGATTGGAAGAGGAGCAGCTGGGACTAGAATCGGCATACATATGGGATGCTGATGCTTCAGGCGAGGGCTTTAACCCACTGCGCCACAGCCCCGGGCCTCAATTTTTTTGTTTGTTTGTTTTCTTTTCTTTTCTTTTTTTTTTCTTTTTTTTTTTCTTTTTTCTTTTTTTTTTTTTTTTTTTTGACAGGCAGAGTTAGACAGTGAGAGAGAGAGAGACAGAGAGAAAGGTCTTCCTCCCACTGGTTCACCCCCAAAATGGCCGCTACAGCCGGTGCACTGCGCTGATCCAAAGCCAGGAGCCAGGTGCTTCATCTCCCATGTAGGTGCAGGGCCCAAGCACTTGGGCCATCCTCCACTGTCTTCCTGGGCCACAGCAGAGAGCTGGACTGGAAGAGGAGCAACAGGGACTAGAACCCAGTGCCCATATGGGATGCCGGCACTGCAGGCGGAGGATTAGCCAAGTGAGGCGCTAGCCCCTCAAATGATGTTTTTACCATTACAATAAATTCCCACCACTAAGAAACATTTTTAAAATATTTGAAGCACAAACAGACACTATATTCATGTGGTGACTTCATGTCATCAAAATTGTTTTACTTGGAAGTTGTTAAATGAATTTAGGTAGAAAATTTAAGTACAGCTTTTTTTTTATAAAACAAGTTTGAAATATTAGAGGCTTTACCGATGCCATTGTCCCCCGCATCTGCTTGCCAGTCAGCTGTGGTCAACCCCACCTGTTCTTCGACACCACTGTCACTGGCAAGTCTTTGGGGTGCGTCTCCATTGAGCTATTTGCAGACAGCAGAAAACTTCTGTGCTCTGAGTGCTGGCAAGGATTTGGGTTACCAGGGTTCCGGCTTTCACAGGATTATTCCAGGGTTTATGCCTGCTTTCACCAGATTATTCCAGGGTTTATGTGTCAGGGCACTGACTCCTCATGCCATCATGGCACTGGGGGCAAGTCCACGTTTGGAGAGAAATTCGATGATGAAAACTTCAGCCTGAAGCACACAGGTCCTGGCATCCTATCCTTGGCAAATGCTGGCCCCAACAGAAACGGTTCCAGGTTTTTTACCTACACTGCCAAGACTGAATGGTTGGATGGCAAGCATGTGGTCCTTGGCAGAGTGAAAGAGGACATGAGTATCATGGAAGCCATGGAGCGCTTTGGGTCTGAGCATGGCAAGACCAGCAAGATGACCATTGCCAACTGTGGACCACTCTCATACATCTGATTTGCTTTATCTTAACCCTCAGCCCACTCCTTCTGTAGCTCAGGAGAGTGTCCTCCATCCCATCTGCTCGGGAATCGCTGTACTTCTCTCACCGCAGCTCTTTGGATTCTGTGTTTTCCTTACTTCTCCTCTAAGTTTAGCGGGATTGCAGTTAAAGTTATGATTATGAAATAAAAACATAAATAAAAAGAGGAACACTAGCTAACTAATCAAATAACATGTAAAAATAATTATATACCAAAAAACACAAAGAATTATATACCATGACTAAATGGGATGCATCCTAGATATGCAAGAATGGCCCAACTTCCAAAAATCATTAGGGTCTGGCATTATGGTAAGGTAAGCCACTACTTGAGACACTGGCATCCACATCACTGTGCTGATTTGAGTCCTGGCTGCTTGGTTAATGGCCCAGGTACTTAGGCCCCTGCCTCCCACTGTGGGAAACCTGGATGGAGTTTCTGGCTTCTGCTTTCTGCCTGGCTCAGTCATGCCTGTTACAGTCATTTGGGAGTGAACCAGCAGATGGAAAATATCTCTCTCTCTCCCTGCCTCCTTCTATCCCTCTGTCTCTCCTCTCTCTATCATACTTTCTTTCAAATACATAAATAAATCTTTTTAAAAAGTCATTAATATAACTTATCACATCTATAGAAGCTAAAGCAAATCATATAATCATATCAATACATGCAAAAACAAGTATTTGACAAAATCCAGCATCCAGTCATGATTTTAAAAACTCAACAAATTTGGAATAGAGAACTCCTTCAACTCAGAGTATCCATAAAACTCCTACAGCTAACATCACATTTTAAGGTAAGAAACTATAAGCTTTCCCACTAAGATCAGAAACAAAGGAAGTATATCTCCTCTCACCTTTTTAATACAGTACTGGAAATCTTAAATTATACAGTAAAATAGGAAAATGAAAAAAAAATTACACTGACATGGAGGGAATAAATAAAACTGTCTTTATTTGCATATGGCATGGTTATCTATATTGAAAATCCAAAAGAATTGAGAATACAATTCCTGAAATTAATGAGAAATTACAGCAAGGTTAAAGGATATAAGGCTAACACAAAAGTCAATTATTGGGGCCAGCACTGTGGAGCAGCAGGTCAAAGCCACAGCTTGCAACTGGTGCCATATGGACACCAGTTCGAGTCTAGATACTCCACTTCCAATCTAGCTCTCTGCTGTGGCCTGGGAAAGCAGTGGGGGATGGCCCAAGTCCTTGAGCCCCTGTACCCATGTGGGAGACCTGGAAGAAGTTCCTGGCTCTTGGCTTTGGATCAGTCCAGCTCCACCCACTGGGGTCAACGGGGGAGTGAACCAGTGGATGGAAGACCTTTCTCTCTCTCTCTCTCTCTCTCTCTCTCTCTCTCTCTGCCTCTCCTCTCTCTAACTCTGACTTTCAAATAAATAAGTAGACCTTATAAAAATAACAGATCTTTATTTAACAATAAACAGATAATATTTTAATTCAATTATTTTCCTACATACCAGTGATGAAAAAGTGGAATTTGAAATCAGAAATATGATGCTATTTACATTAGTACCTCCAAAAATGAAATACTTAGATGTAAATCAAAACACTATATATATATATATATATATGGCTTTTTTAAATTTTATTTATTCTTTTTGACAGGCAGAGTGGACAGTGAGAGAGAGAGACAGAGAGAAAGGTCTTCCTTTGCTGTTGGTTCACCCTCCAATGGCCGCCGCGGCTGGAGCGCTGCGGCCAGCGTACCATGCTGAGCCGATGGCAGGAGCCAGGTACTTATCCTGGTCTCCCATGGGGTGCAGGGCCCAAGCACTTGAGCCATCCTCCACTGCACTCCCCGGCCACAGCAGAGAGCTGGCCTGGAAGAGGGGCAACCGGGACAGAATCCGGCGCCCCGACTGGGACTAGAACCCGGTGTGCCGGCGCCACGAGGCGGAGGATTAGCCTAGTGAGTCGCGGCGCCGGCCTATATATGACTTATATGAGGGAAACTGATATTATGATGAAAGAAAGCAAAGAACAGCTAAATAAATAGAAATATATTCCATGCTCATGTATAGAAAGATATATTTCTTTCTAACTTAACCTATAGAATCACCATAAACTCAAACAGAATTTCAGCAAGTTATTTTGTAGATGTCAACAAACTGATTCTAAAGTTTATATAGCAAGATGAAAGACCCAGAACAGCCAAAACAATATTAAAGAGGAACAAAGTTGGAGGAATGACACTACCCAACATCCAGACTTACTGTACGGCTGGCTACCGTACCCAAGGAAGTGTGGTACTGGTGAAAGAACAAATAGCTCAATGGAACAGAAGAGAGTCCAGAAATTAACTGATCTTTGACAAAAGAGCAAAATCAGTTAACTTTTCCAAGAAGTAGTGCTGGAAAACTGGACATTAACATGCAAAATAAAAATGAATAAGGCAATGACCTTATGCCCTTCACAAAAATTAACTCAAAATAGATTATATACCCAAAGGTGTAATAGGCTATGCCTCCGCCTGCAGTGCCAGCATCCCATATTGGTGCCAGTTGGAGTCCCAGCTGCTCTACTTCCAATCCAGATCCCTGCTAAGGTGCCTGGGAAAGCAGCAGAAGATGGCCCAATTGCTTGGGCTCCTGCGCTCACATGGGAGACCCAGAAGAAGCTCCTGGCTCCTGACTTCAGCCTGGCCCAGCCCAGGCTGTTGCAGCCATCTGAGGAGTGAACCAGTGCATAGAAGACCTCTGTCTCTCTCTGTCTCTGTGTGTGTGTGTGTGTGTGTGTGTGTATAACTCTGCCTTTCAAATAAATAAAATAAGTCTTAAAAAATAATAAAACTTCTAGATCATAACATAGAAGGTAATCTGGATGATGTTTATTGGTGACTTTCTAGAGACATCAGCAAAGGAACAATCAATTAAAGAAACAATTGCTTAGATGTACTTCATTAAAATGAAAAATTTATGGGCTGGCATAGTAGGCTGAGCTTCCACCTGTAGGGTTGGCATTTCATACGGGTGCCAGTTCATGTACCAGTTACTCCTCTTCTGATCCAGCTCTCTGCTAATGGCCTGGAAAAGCAGATGGCCCAGTGATTGGGCCCCTGTACCTGTGTAGTGGACCCAGAACAAGCTCCTGACTCCTGGCTTCAGATCAGCCTAGCTCCAGCCATTGCAGCCATTTGGGGAATGAGCCAGTGGATGGAAGAACTCTCTCTCTGTCTCTCCCTCTCTCGGTCTGTAACTCTACCTCTCAAATAAATAAAATTTTTTTAAAATTGAAAATTTACACTCTGTGAAAGACAATGTCAAGAGAATGAAGAGTCAAGCCACATACTGGAATATTTACAAAAGAGACTCTTAGTTGAAGTATACAAAAAATTCATAAAACTCAACAATAAGAAAATGAACAATTAGTTTCATTTTAAGTAAAAGACCTGAAAAGATGCCTCATAAAGAAGATACACAGGGGCTGGCGTTGTGGCGCAGCAGGTTAACACCCTGGTCTGAAGCACCGGCATCTCATATGGGCACCAGTTCTAGTTCCGGCTGCTCCACTTCTAATCCAGCTCTCTGCTATGACCTGGGAAAGCAGTGGAAGATAGCCCAAGTCCTTGGGCCCCTGCATCCATGTGGGAGACCCAGAAGAAGCTTCTGGCTCCTGGCTTCAGATCGGCACAGCTCCAGCCATTGTGGACAATTGGGGAGTGAACGAGCGGATGGAAGACCTCTCTCTCTCTCTCTCTTGCTCTCGCTCTCTCTCTCTCTCTCTGCCTCTCCTCTCTCTGTGTAACTCTTTCAAATAATAAATAAATCTTTTTTAAAAAAGAAAAAGAAGATACACAGGTGGTCAATAAGTGTATGAAATGATGCTCCACATCATAGAGCATTAGGGAATTGCAAATGAAAACAAGACACCACTACACACCAAGTAGATTGGCCAAAGCCTGGAATGCTAACATCAGAACCTGGGTAGAACATGAAACAACAGGGACTGTCACTCACTACTGGTAAGAATATAAAATGGTACACCCACTTTAGAAGACAGTTTGGCATTTTCTTACAAAACTGAATATACTCTCTTACCATGTAATCCAACAGCTGAGTTTCTTGGTATTTACCCAAATAAGCTAAAAGCCTATTACTACACAAGAACCTGTACGGGTATGTTTACTGAAGTTTTGTTAACTATTGCCAAAACTTGGAAGCAACCAACATGTCCTTCAGTGGGTGAGTGCATTGAAAAACTGTGGTCCACCCAGACAACGGAATCTTATTCAGCACCAATAAAAAATGAACTATCTAGTCACAAAAAGGCATGATGGAGCCTGAATGCATATTATCCAGTGAAGAATACTGTATGATTCCAACTATATGACAGTCTGCTTAGTGAAAGAAGTCAATGTGAAAATTTGTCAAAACCTTTAGAATGTACAGCACAGAGTGAACCATAACATAGACTTCAGATAATAATAATATAGCACTATTGGCTTATCAGTTGTAACAAATGTACCACACTGATGCACTGTGTTAATCGAAAAAAACTGTGGTTGTGGGATTAAGGAAATATCAGAACATTGTGTTCACTCAGTTTTTCTGTAACTAAAACTGCTCTGAGGGGCCGTCGCCGTAGCTCACTTGGTTAATCCTCCGCCTGCAGCGCCAGCATCCCATATGGGGGCCAGTTCTAGTCCTGGCTGCTCCTCTTCCAGTCCAGCTCTCTGCTGTGGCCCAGGAGGGCAGTGGAGGATGGCCCAAGTGCTTAGGCCCCTGCACCCGCATGGGAGACTGGAAGGAAGCACCTGGCTCCTGGCTTCAGATTGGCACAGTTCTGGCTGCAGCGGCCATCTGGGGGGGTGAACCAACGGAAAGAAGATCTTTCTCTCTGTCTCTCTCTCTGTCTATAATTCTACCTGTCAAATAAATAAATAAATAAACTTCTCTGAAAAATCAAATCTATTGCTTTTCTAAATGTGAAAGAAAAAGTTTGTGCTCTGCATATTTTTATGTCTCTTAGATAAACATCGTATTATTCTGTGTGTATACATATGTGTATGTATGTATACACCACACACACACATGCACGTATATTACTTTTACATGTTCAACATACGCTGGCTATGCAGACTTTCTCACCAACAGTGACTGCTATTTTTATCTCAGACAGTATATAATTAGTAAAAGTCATACCTGGATATTCTTTGTCGTTGTTCAAGTCAGAAACTCTTGGCCTTGCGACAGTGGCAGGAGAACAAAGCAGGAGCTGGGCATGGGGGCCATCGCAGCACCAGCCTTCAGGTCGTTTCTTCCACTCTTTGACCGAGTGTTGGCTGAGAGGAGTGCTGCAGAAACCGCAACCACAGGAGGTGTTGCACCCGCAGCAAAAGCTCAAGGAAAGGCATCACAAGCAACAGCAGTGGCTGGTGGATCAGGCTCTAAGGAAAGGGTGCAGAGATTCAACCAGTCCACGTGGACGTTGGAGATCAAGGTCTTCCTGCAGAATGCAGTAGTTCAGGTGGTGACAGGGATTATTAG